AAATGTTACTTTAACATTTATTTGAGATCAATGCAACATTTTAAAAATATTTCCGCCGATTAAAATGTAATGGCAACTCTATTTTAACATTATTGAAACATCCAAATCGCGGTCAAAGTATATTCATAATGATGTTTGATACAATATTAAACACTACATATTTGACAATATTACAGGTTCTTCAATATCATTGTAGCAATATTGTATTGAACAGTAAGCATAATGTTTGAGTTTAATGTCTAAGAATATATTAAAATGCATCTAAAATAATCCATGTGACCAAAGGATTGTTGAATAATGTTATCAATTAGATTTTGATGTAGTGGAATTTGCTAAGTTATACGACGATTAATAAATGTATAAATTACAAATATAATTTAAATATAAATTAATAAGGTTTAAACAATATAGATGTAAATATGTCGTTTTTCGCTCCTATGATCCTTCAATTTTTTAATAAGCTTTTAATAATCTCTTTCCTACATTCCCAGTAAGCAAGAAACATTAAATTAGAAACGTTTAGAAACGTTGACTTCATGTGCATTATTTGGATATTTTTTAATAATATTGCATTTATATTTCTCACATGTTATTTTATGATTTTTCTGAATGTTGTTTAAACGTTTTAAAAACATTACAAAAAATAAATTTTTTAAATGTTACTTTAACATTTATTTGAGATCAATGCAACATTTGAAAAATATTTCCGCCGATTAAAATGTAATGGCAACTCTATTTCAATATTATTGAAACATCCAAATCGCGGTCAAAGTATATTCATAATGATGTTTGATACAATATTAAACATTACATATTTGACAATATTACAGGTTTTTCAATATCATTGTAGCAACGTTGTATTAATGATTTCTTGCTTACTGGGAAAGTATCTAGGGCTAATGATCTGTAAATATCGATCGTAGAATTGTAAATGAATCCTTTATAGTTTGTAACAAGCGATTTCATAATTATGTGTGTGTGTGTGAGAGAGAGAGAGAAAGAGAGAGGGGGCAGGGGTAACTCATATTTTGTACAGACAAAGGTACAAAAGTTACATCAAGACCTGGCAGTTCCGGTTTGATCTTGAACAGGTCACTTCTAGTCCTACTAGTACATGTAACTCCTTTCT